GTGTTGCAGTTCGCTACGCGAATTTAACATCTAGAGTACCTTTGTTTACATTATTGAGTTGACTGACCAATTTTTTAAGTTTTTGCGATATGGTTGACCTTTGTAGAGATTTGGAGGCATTTTACTCAAAAGTAAGGCCGTACCTTAAATAAATGTGGGGGTGAACAAAATATGTCGAGTGAACATTCTCAAGTCCATCAATAGTGTCATTAGCGAAAGATCGACATTCTATCAACTTCGGCATCAAAGTCAGTTTATGTGAGTGACAAATACTTAATTATTGAGCTGACTCAAGGTTTGTAGTTGTTATTGTTGCTGAGTTTATATAAATCGCAGTTAACTCAACAACAACAAACGACCAACCTCATGCAGGTTCAAACAACTAAGTTTCTGCTAGTTGCTATCTTTAGCCTTGTCTTAAGTATATTGTTGAACATTCCGAGAGCATTTAGCTTTATTGTTGAACACTAACCACTGCCTCCACGAAATTATATCCGTTACAACCAGACATTTCAACTCGAAAGAGAAGTCAGCAGAAACAGTGCTACCACATTTCATTGTCGCAACAAATATGTTATCTTTTGTATATAATTTTGCAGAGAGGCTTAGATATAGTGCACGCATACTTAAATATGCATATAATTTCTATGTGCCTGCATATATAAAGGGTAAAGGATTAAGCTCTTGGCGTTGATCACTCCCTGAGGATGCGCCATGCGCTCGTCCTCAATTTTTAACTTCGTTTGAGGCGATTGAATGCATATCTGGCCTTCACAATGACTCGCGGTGGCCTACCGCTGAACCGAGTCAATGCTGCTTATTTTCCCAGACAAGTCTGAGATCAGTCTGGTACCAATTTACAGACCCTGGAAGGATGGATGGCTTGGTGAGCCATGAGCGCGAGATCGAACCATTGACCTCGTGTGCGACGCAATGCACCTCTAACCACTGAGTCACTTTCGCTCTTGCTCACATATATACATGCAAAAATTCTACAAGTTCACTAGTCGCTGTGAAAAAAAATATCTCATTAAGCAGGCAGCAGTACTTCAGATCGGTGTGTTCTCTTATTTAGATCTTGATTGTTTACTTCGCACAATCATAGCTTTGGTTACAACTATAAAGTGCATGTGTTTATTCATCGCACCAAAAGTTATTTTACAGCAAAATCATAGGATAGCATAGAAAAATTCATGGCACATAAGTAGGATGACAGAAACGCCGAATTTCTTTGAATAGAGAAAAAAGACAATTAATAAAGCGGAAGTCACTCGCAAACGAGGAGACGCGCAGAAAGTGTCCTCCTCGTAACATCCTATACGCGCACGTTCGCTTCGAAGTGGGTAAAAAGTGATTCGTGTTGAATAACCGTGTTATTCACAACATGGGAAAATTTTGGCATCATCTATAATGATGTGTATTCTTCGTGGCTTCTTTTACAAGCTTATAAGCTTTTGGCTCGTAAATGACTATTGGTTTCAGCAGTCAGTCTCCCTATCTGCTAAGTCAACTGCTTCACCAATCTACCTCTTTCAGATGGATGATAGGCTTGTTTGAAGCAGGCTATAGAGGAACTCCTTTGTGTGTTAGAGTGCATCTAAAAATACTCTGCTACACCAATTCATAGGCTTTCTGTCAAAAAGCTTCCTAACTTCTGTGTTTCAAGAGTAGGAGAATGCTGCTATAATACGGAACACGCTAAGATCGTAACACCTTTTTCGTATGTGGTGAAATATTTAGGTGTGCACATTTTGTTCGGCTTTCATTCTCAACAACAAAACAATAATATTTCCATTCCACCATTAGAGCGCATCATCAAAATGATGTGAGAATTCGGGTGAACAGATTGCGAAATGTTTCATTTTTCTCATTCGTAAGCTAACACGTGGTTATTATATAAATTTTATTCGGCGACTGTTTGATCACGCTCGCCTTCTGCTAAAAACTTGTATTTGGCTACTGTGAAGCTCATAATCGTGCGATCTTTCGGCGAGTCTTACTTCTTCAACAGTGGTACCAGATCCAGTAGAAAAACGCCTTTGTGAAAAGCTAAGTTGAAATAGTCCGAGCTCCACTGCCTGAAACAGAGAGTGGTGCCCGTAGTACATAAAAACATCTGAACAAAACATGCCCCACTTTATGGGAGGAGAAGTGTAGTCACAAAAAAGTTATCAAATGTGTGTCAAGCTTCACAAGAACAGCATCATTCAACCTTCCACCACTTGTGAAAACACGGACGTTATGGCGATCTCTACTTACCGTCAACGTTAGTTGCTGACACCAGCGAGGAATTATATTGAAAAAAAGTGGTTGCAGAGCGATGCCCTCGGTGGTGTAGTGGTAGTACGCAAACTCGGTAAGGGTGGACGCGGGTTCAACTTCTGCAGGGAGGCAGATTTTGCTCATGACACTCGATATAATTGAAGATTAATCCGACACTTCCCCATTGGGACGTGATAAGAAGTCTGACTGTTATAATATAATTAGTTCGTTGAATGAGGCTGATAAGGTAAAGAAACAAAGTTGGATAAAACGATAGTAGAAAAACGTTCCGTCGTATTAACTGCTGGCCTTGTAGCGAGTACAGTGATGGTGTTGGTGGTGCTTGGACACGAGGCTATGGAGGTGAATCGCGTCGATTGCTCTCTGAAATTCATTTCTACGACGTAGATCTTCGTGATGACATCGGGTTGATTTTGCCAAAGTGAAGCATCGCTTTATTGGAACAGCGTCACTCGAAAATTTCTTTCTATGGAGCACGGATGCTAACTGACTGTTGAATGATAAAATTCGTTTTTTTAATTATCCAAAGAGTTTGTGGGCGTTAGAAAACTGCAGGTGCACATGCGTTTACCACATATGCAGAGATCTTTACAGCCACAAATGAACATCACAGTGTCAAACTAGTTTTTATCTCAATTTTTATTACGTACTGATCTCTGTACTGTGTAGCCCAGTATGTACAGGTGTCCTGCAATACAAAGTGGTCGTTGGCTTGACCACGCGCCCTAGGGCTCATCAGGCTTTCCACCTGTTTGGAGGCGACAAATTCTACATTTGGCTGTAAGCATAGTTGACTTCATACATCGGCACACCAACGCATGTTATGTGTGGGCCAGATGTGCATGCGGAGCACGGAGGCCGAGTAGTTGTGATTATCGTCGTGTTTTGCGTTGACTCAACGTCGCATCCCAACACTCTCCAGCAGTCAACAACGAAGGCCCTATAGAACGCCACAGATAAGCTGTTCTTGAGATCGCAAGGAGACGTGTTCATCCCGTCATTTAAAAGGTTTAGGAAGAAGTCAAATAAACGAATTGAATGCTAGGAGCACTGAGATCTGCACAGTGAAAAAACGCTTTGAAGACGAATCAGTAAAGTGCCAAAGATATGTATGCATTCACTTGTGTGATGTCTAGTGTAGTTGAATGCATGGCGCATCTCAGAAGGATGCACTCAACTTTGAAGAGTTTGGCTTTCAGTTTTTTTTATACTTGATCCACTTCAAAATTTTGGACTTATTATACCAGTCTCCATCATCTTCAATAATTAGCAGAAAAAAGTCTTCCATAGAAAACTTGGAGTTATATCCACCCAAGAAAGCATGTTTGAAAAACTCTAGGCTGGTGGGCGATCACATTGTGTCATGTGAACAAAATTTTTTGATACAGCATAGCTGCCTTATTTTAGAACAAACTATTTTACAGAATAGAAAGAACCGTTCCAAACTAACTATTCATTTGGAGGGATCAGAAGTGGTGTTCTCTACACGTGAATTTATAAAGGTGAAGGTAGATTTTATGATGCAGTCACTTTTTCCTGCACGTGAGATGCATTAGGTTGATGAAAAAATATTGGCGCTTTATGCATTGTTAATATGCCACTTTATATTGAAATAAATTCTCAGTAAATGTGATTATGATATAGCTCATTTTGATACTTTTTCGCCTCGTTTTGCTGCTGATATCGTATTACTTACTGTTTATTTTATCTTCATTTTAGACTACGGAAAGGATGTTGGTTTTCCGGAAAGTAATCACGGTTTCAGACCTTGAGTTTAAGATAGGAGAAAAGCAGCAGAGGCAGCTGAAACATAGAACAATGTAATTAGCCTAGAGACTGCTAAAGAGCATACTGTGCAGCGATTGCTCAAAAAGTTTCGTTAAAGAAAAGAAAGCATCGAAGATATGGAACATAGTGATTAGTCATATTAGGTTGACAACGACCAATTGACAGTAATCATGGAAGTCGATCCTTTTGAAACCACAGGAAGTGATGCAGAGGAACTCAACGTTGGACAATGTACGGTCGTTCGCCATTTCATTATTTTCGGAAGTTAGAAGACTCGATAAGTGGATGCCTCATGAACTCACCGAAAATCAAAGAAAATTTACACGAGAAAGTTCAAGGTGGGATTGGATACACTTTCTAAACACCCAAGTAAAACTACTAATGTTTGCGCAGCATACGAGGAGAGGGACGAATTACTAAACTTGGTGCGGAAAATAACTATATTTAACGACTACGAGTGCGGTACACCAGCCACTCGGGTCAGCTCAATTAGTAAGGTCAGGCTCCAAATCAAGAACACAAACAAAACCTCGCACCTCAGTGAGATCGCTCTAAGATTGCCTTCCATATTAAAAGAAGTTAATTGTGCTATAAAGAGGTGTTTGAAAGAAGCGATTTTGATTGTTTGGTGACAGCGATCGAACTTCCACCCGCAACCCTGTGCCTTAATCGTCCGCAATCGTCTATACGATCGGCTACGCCACTCAGAAGACTGTATAATCCGCTCTTAAGGAACGGTGGGGGATTGTGTATGACCTCCGGCACGATATATTCAAGAACATGTAGGGCATGCGGAGAAATATATTAGAGAAACAGGGCGACCACTTGATTTGCGCATAAAAGAATATTCAGATGAACAATCCAATATCCATAAACAAGGTTCTAGTTTTAAATAGACCCCAATGATTAGAGTGGTGTGCAAAAACGTTTGCGTCAGCCGGGATTTTAACCCAGATCTTACTCTTTCCGGGAGCATGTGATGTGCTAAACCGTTGCACCACCGACGCTTCTAGGTTTACATGAAGCACAAAAGCATAAAAATAATAATTTTGATGTGGCTACCACGATCCTAGCGCGGATTAAAAACTATGAACGCGCAAAACTCTCGAAGCACTTTAGATATACGCCAAAAACCCTGAAATGAACCGCAAGGATGAACGTGTCACTATATGCGAGTCTTGGCACCTTACATGCACTTAATCTTCTAACTTGATCCAAGGAGCGGTGTGTTGGTAACGATTTCGTCACCGACACAGTCAAATAGTAGTTCAGTGTATGCCCACACTGAAGAAGGCGGTGACGCCGAAACGTCAGCCAACTACTCGTAGTGCGATCACCAACGACAGCCACTTCGTCATAACTACGGACCTTTTGCAGCTGGAACAGCTAAGTTTTCCATACTCAAAAAAATCAACTTCGAGACAGAGTTAATGGAAAGTCGATCTCCCGAGAAAATGCCGCTTTAAAGTGTCCCCTTCACTTAATCTACGCAACAACCGCCAACTATTTCTCGATCAGATCAAAACGAGCGACGAAATTTGGTAATATACAAACATCGGCGACGATCCGTTTTGTGGTTGAGCCGCGAAGAAACTTCAAAGGACTTTATAAAGTCAAAATTGCACCAAGAAGTGCCATGGCCATTGCATGGTGCTCTGTTGTCAGTCTGATCTACTACACCTTTCTGAATCTCGTCGAAACCATTATTCCTGAGAAGTACAATCAGTAATTCGATGAGATGTACCGAAAACTGCTACGCCTGACCAAGAAAAAGGGCGCTATCCTTCTCCACGACAGCTCGTTGCCACGCGTCGCACAACGAACGTCTCGAAAGTTAGGTGAATTGGTACAAAGTTTTGCCTCATCCTCCATATTGGCCGGATCTCACTCGCACCGACTACCACTTCTTCAAGTATATCGACACCCTATTGCAGCAAAACTCTTCCATAACCAATACGATGTCGAAAAAGCTTTACGTGAGTTCGTGAAATTCTGAGACCCCGATTTTTATGCTGCAGTATTGAACAAATCTATTTTTCGTCGGCAAAAATGCCTTGATTGTAATGGCTCCTACTTTAATATATATAGATGCCTTTTAGTCTACTTACCATGATTTGAAATACACGGTCTGAATTCGTCGAGACAATGAAACAAGTCTGAATTGTGGCAATCTAATAGAAGAGGTTGTTACCGTAATGAGGAAGTTCTATCACCTGCAATGCCTGCCGTCCCATTGATCGTAGAGTGACTAGTGGCAGCAGTAAAACTACTATTTCTACCTGTCATGAGCAACAGTAGCCCAGTGAGTTCTCTTCCTCTAGAAGTCCTTTGAGCATCGCCTTTTAGATTTTTTATGCACAATTTTGATAACCGGTTTGATGATACTTTTGTTGTACGTTTGACATTCCGTGAAATTCAGTTGAGAACGGCTCTTTTTCATCGATTTTTTCAAAACTCATTACTTGTACGACACACTTGTAATTGACAAAATGGTACGTAGCGCAAACCCTCTACAAGGTAAGGGATATCCCCAGCATCGATCTTTCAGTCGCAGCACAGTAATTTTTACTCCGTATATGTAGTAACCCGAGTTCTGACACAACTTTTAAAGTGGAAAGGGCCGTTGATTTGAGCGGCTCAAGACACTGAGTTGAATGTTTCTTGTTTTCTCTAGAACATCCTTATTGCTCTTAAACGCTGCTCAAGCCGCTTGCTTCCTCTTGCTCAACTCTGGAATTCGGCTGTTCGTCAAGTTAACTTCCCGTCTTAGACAGACGTGATTGGAGCATTCGTAGATATTCATTTCATTCAGCGTAAATTGTGAAATCGAGACCAGTGCGTTTTTCATCATTATGGTTTTCGTTAGGCTCAGGAGGAGGTCGATCTTTCTCGAAATCGATCAACATGTATTCAGTCTGCTTGGTGCTTAATGTTACAGGCACGGTCTCATCAGCAAAGATAATACAATGTAGTTTCCCATGGTCGATTTTCACTATCATGCTACCCATTTCTGATGTCCGCATGGCGTTCACGAGAATAGCGTTAAATGACTTTGACAATATGGTATCGCTTTGTCGAGTTCCTCTCGTTACGTCGATAATGATATCGGTATAGAAGGATGACATTTTGGTTGTAAAGACTCTATGTATCTTACAAAAACTTCCTATATACTAAATAAATATGCGCTGGCTATTCAGAGCTTCTCGAAGATATCTACTCCAACTAAGTAAAAAGCTTTCTTTGAACCGATGAAAATGAGTTAAAACGCGCCCTTTTATACATTCGTGAGGCTTTAAAATTACAGTTATAATGTGACTCTGATTTATTACAGAATCACTGGACGGACGCTCTCTACTCACATCACCGTCCTTCTTATGTTCTGCAAAGAGTAGGACAAAATTCCTCTAAAATCCTACCATTTCTTTGTGAGGAAGTACACTGACTTTTTCTAGTGAACTAAGCAGTTTCCCACGAGCGGGAAATTCTTCGGCACATAGTGCTATAACTTAGGCTACTCATTCCACTACTCACTACTCATTCCAGTTACTGAGCTACAAAAAGAGGAAAAAGCCAAAACAAAAACTTCTTCTTTCTCTTTATTTCTACATTAAACAACAAAGATTCAAGGATAATGGGATCAGCGTTGACCAGCTGCTTTAGAGATGCGCCACGCATTCGACTACATTGAGTATCGCACGAATGAACATGTGCATGTCTAACCCATTGAGTGACTTGTGGTCACATAGTGATGTAACAGGAGAGTGCTGATATGCCTCCACACAAGTTAGTACTTAATTTGTCGCCTCCGAAGAGAAGGAATTTATGATGAGTCCTGAGCGCATGATCGAAAGACCGCATTTATATTACAGGAACTGTGAGTAGTGCGCTACACACACACACACACTGCAACGATCAGTTTGAACAAAAGCGAAGAGAATAGGGTCGGCACTCTCATATTCATTTTTTGGTCATAAGTCTATCTCCACAAGTAAGAATTTATGCACAACTGCAGTTTATTGTCACAAAACCCTTGCAGAATACTCAGAACAACGAACTATTGTCATTCGACAGTCAGCTTCCGTTCTGTATAAAAAGGAATTGCTGAGTGGGCTTGTTTCGAAAGAGCGGTGATCATACCGGAAGATTCAATCTGATGCGACAACGAGATTATATATCGCACAAATGAACTGCCGAATACACATTCGACCCTAATCACTGCCATAACCTTGTGTATCAACACCACCAGCACCATCGCTGCACTCGGTGTAAGACATAGGTTAATATGGCAGGATACTTTTTTCCTATCATTTCATTCCATTTCGTTTCCTTACCTTATGAGCCTCATTAAGCAAACTAATTAAATTATGACTTTCGGACTTCTTATCACGCCCCATGGGATGCAGAATTAATCTTCAATTATGTTGAGTGATATACACAATATTTGATCTTGGCAGGAGTTAGATCCTCATCCACTCGTACCGAGTTTGCGTGCTACCATTACACCACTGATGCCATCGCTCTGTTACCCCCTTTTTCGATATGACTCCTCGCTCATGTCAGCAACCACCGTTGATGGTAAGCAGAGATCGCAATGGCTTTCGTGTATTCATAAGTGGTGGAGAGTTGTACGTAGTTGATTTTCTGAAGCTTGGCACATAGTTGATGATTTTGTTTTCGTGACTACACTCCTCCTATCGCAAAATGAGGCGTTTTTTTTTGTTTTCCTGTACTGCAGGCGCTACTTTTTTTCAGGCAGTAGAGCTCCAAATATCTGTTCATCCTTTACGAGGACAGTGTATCTTCTGGATATGCCACCAATGCTGAAAAAACAACTGAACCAAAACATTAGACGAAATTGAATTTTGTAGTAATCGGATACGTTTCATACCAAAAGGCGACAAACAATCGCCAACCAAGTGTTCCAAACAATCACGTGCTAACTTACAAATAAGATTTATGAAGCATTCCACAATCTCTACACCTACTTTTTCATTCTATTAGTGATACGCTCTAATTCTAGATCACAAGTTTTATTCTCTTTAAAGTGCTGAAGATGAAGGTCTAACAAAATGTACTTACTTTCATTTTCTACGATACACGATAGCGATCTCACAATGTTAGCATTCTCCTTATCATAACATCTTCAGGCGCTGTAGAAGCACAAGCGTTTCGAATGTTTTTGACAGCAACTCTAAAGAATATATCAAACATCCTTGTATAATGCAATTTCATATAAGACCTGCGTGGCACAGTGGATATAGGTGTACACACACAGACCCCACTTCACCCCATGGGCAACCAAACCCGTCATCCATGCGGGTGTTGCACACTAGGGAACCAATTGTGTGAGAAGATACGAAGACTGGTTATAGTTCATCACGAGCTGTTATACATGCAAAAAACATACTGATCATCTCTACACTTCTTGATGAAATCGTATACATGGCGCATCCTCCAGATCTTGACTGACTTCGGATGTTCGATTCTTTTTATCCTGTCCAATTCATCCGATGAAATTATTGAAGTGCTTAGTAATCGTATTGTCCAGCTGTTTATCTTCAATATATCGCGTGACTCCATGTCCTGTGTTATGTTGGAACTTTAAGGAAGATGGTTACAAAGTATACACAGATGTACTTTCAAAGACAGGTGAGGTCGAGCATTGTTTATTCATGTAACATTGCAAATTATACACTTACTCTAGCAATAGAATTGCATATTGTCACAGAGTGCCACGCACAACTGATTTGAAAGAATCAGTCGGCAAAATTGATGATCATGATTTTTTCCGCAGGAAAAACGCCGGCCTGAATTAATGCTTTGATCGAAGACGAACAACGTGCTCATCATATCAAATAGCACAATCAGAAATTAACTCTAATTGATTTCGTATAGCATGAGATTATCGGTTAGAAGCTCAATCATATCAACGTCAAAAAACTGAGCAAAGCATACATCTTCAGACTCAGAACTCACTTTCTGAACTCTAAAGCTTTTCGGCATTGCA